GCCGAGCCAGGCGCATGAGTACGCACGTGCTGCGCGACCAGGCTCACGCGCCCCATGAAAGACTGCGGACGTTTCAAGGCATTGGCCACGCATCCCCACAGACGCAACACAGTACGTTGCACATATTGAGGCAATGAGTTGCAAATACTGGGAACCAATAGTATGCCTGGGTGCAACATGCCAGCACATGCCGCACAAACCGCACGCGCAACCCCCATCCCTCCATTTCCGCCTGATATCCCGTCCACGTATTTTATATATCCTTCCCCCCCTGCCGCCCCCGTTCGCCCCCCCCCCCCCGCCCTCTCTCAACTTCCCCCTCCTCCGCCCCCCTCCTCCTCGACCCCTGGCCCAGCTCGCCCTCGCGGCGGAGTGCATTGCGCAGCGCGTCGCCAGGCGAGGGAACTAAGGGAGGGAGGGGGGAGGGAGGGGGGAGGGGGGAGGGGAGAGAAGGGGGGAAGGGAGACAGGGCGAAAGACGCACACAGGGAGGGGGGCGTGGGAGAGGAGCCAGAAGAGGTAGGAGAGATACGGGGGGAGCGGGGGAGGGAAGGAATGTCGGGGGCAGGGAAGGAGAAGAAGAAACGAGGGCAAGGGCGACGCGGGCGAGGGGAGCTAATGCGAGGGGGGAGGGATGGGAGGGAATGGGCACTAGGGAGGGAGGGGGCGAGGAAAAGCGAGGAAAGCGGGGGGGGGGAAAGAGGGCAAGGAGGAGAGACAGAGAAGGTGGGGATGTTGTGAGGACAGCGGAGAAGCGGACAGAATGGAAAGAGGGAGATGGCGAGAGGCCAAAGTGAAGAGCAAGGGAAGAGCGGCGATGGGGACGGCGAGGGAGGGAGAGACGCGAAGGAGTAAGGAAGGAGGAGAGGATGGCGGCGGAGTAACGGGGAGAAGATCGGGAAAGACCAGCCGGCCTGGACTCCCGCGGCACCTGCGACAAAACCTTGCCCCCCGCCCCCCAGCGATGCCCAAACTGTACTCGCGCGGCTTGCGGGGGCCGCGCGACTGTCTTTTGGGGCTCGCCCGGGGCGGGTCCCCGAATGACAATTTCGAAAGTGTGGACCCGGCGGAGCTCGTCGCGGTAGGGCATCATTTGGGCGCGCCCCAAACCGGAGGCTTCCGTGACGACCCCCCTGGGACCCCCGCCCGTCTGTTTTGTTTCCCGACTTGTGCCTAAACCGGAGGCTTCCGTGACGAGCTCGGGGGGGCCCCGGGCGCAACCTAAACCGGAGGCTTCCGTGACGAGGGGGCGCCCAAACCGGAGGCTACCGTGACGACCCCCCCCCGGAGGTTTCCTGGTCGGGGGCCCTCGGGGGGGCCCTCTCGGGGCCCTCCAGGCCTTCCAATGCAATCTCGGAGGGCCTCAAGAGGGCTCCAAGAGAGCCTCAGGAGGGCCTCAAAATTTCAAATATATTGACAAACTTTGAAGCTCTCTTGGAACCGTCTTGAGCCCGCTTGAAGCCCTCCGGATCGCACTGGAAGGCCCTGGAGGGCCCGGGCAATGCTCCAAGAGGGCCCCTAGAGGGCCTCAAGACGGCCCTCAGCGAGCCCCACGAGGGCCCCAAGGGGGCCCAAGAGATACCCAAGAGGGCCTCTTGTGCACGACCACTTGCGTATATGAACACTGCTGTCCATGACCACTCTCGTATTCAACTGCTATTGTATATCACCCCTCCCTCCTGGCTCATCCATTCACCCTCATCGCTCCCCCTGATGATCAGGGCAAGTCGCCTGGCGATTTGTTGGGCGGGCTGGTGGGGATGCGCGGAGCGCCAACAATTTCTGGAAGCCTGCTTGAGGGGTCAAGGGAGCCCCAAGTGGGCCCCGTGAGGCCCACAAGAGGACCTCGGGAGAGCCCCGCCTGGACCCCAAGAAAATCCAAAGTTAGGACGCGCGCTGCGTCCTGATTCAGGAATGTCTCGGGGTCCACTTGATGCCCCGTGGGGGCATTCTCCGGGACTTCCTGAAACCCGCCCGAAGCCGGAGGGAGCCCGTGTCGCCGAGAACTCGCTAATACGGCTTTAATAAAATCTAGTTACCCCCCAAGAGGGCCCAAATCCAATATTCAAAATGCTTTTTGGCTCTGGGCCATCTGGGGATCCATCCGGGGCCCTCCTGGAGCCCTCCTGGGGGTCTCCCCAAGGCCCACCCACAGCCCCCTCGAACCCATTGAGGGCCCCGAAGAACGCCCCAGAGGGCACCCATCAGAAGGGGTCCAAATACATGTATGTTTGGAGGGCCCGCATCAGGATGCATGGTGCAACATGAGTTTGGGCCGTTGCGTGGGCCACGCCGGTGCCCTCTTGGAGCCGTCCTGGGCCGCGCTGGGGCTGTCCCGAAGCCCCGAGGATGCCCCGAGAGAACCCCGAGAGTGTCCCAAGGAGGCTCCTGCAAGCGACATTTGCATGCACACTTTTACGTCGCATTGTTTCCGCGTGCTCCCTTGAAGCAAGAGGGTAAGGTTTTCCTCGATGTGGCATGCATTGCCGTTTGCCCCACGGCGCGGCGTCGTGCTCAACAACAACGTCCCGCCATGCCATTGCGGTTGCATGATGCACCGTGTACCTTGACCTGGGGCCCACTGGGGGTCGGCTTGGAGCCCTCTCGGAGCTCTTTCGGGGGCCTCAGAAGACCTTTTTTCGGAGCCTCGTTGCGGCTTCGGGGGGGGGGGCCTCGCCCAGCTCGCTCGAGGGAAACCGCGAGCTCCGGAGTCCGACCGCCAGCATCAATCGTCTGGCAACCCCCGCATATCCTAACATTCTCGGTAACCTAGGAAAGCGGGGCCCCGGGCGTCAGCCGAAATCGACGGCGAGTTGTTGTCAAATCCCTGCAATTTCCGCGAGGGGCCACTGTCGAGCATTGATTCTGAGACAAACACAAAACGCACGCGAGTGGTTAAGATGATCGAGTCAACAGTAGCACCGAAAAGTGTCAGCGGGCAATCATATGTTTCCTCTAGTTGCGAAGCCGCTCGCGCCCCAAGATGCAGATGCGATGGTGCCGCATCTGAAAACATTGTAGACGCACGCGCAAGAATGGCAGCGATGCTCCCATTGCTCCTTCGCCAACTCCGCCAAACAAGCACGCATTCCGACTCGATCGAGGAAGCTGCGCGGCACACTTGCTGCACTTCATGACTTCTGTTTGCGAATTCCTTTGGGGCGGCGCCGGTCGTGCCCCGAGAGCGCTTCGCGCGTGGGCAATTCATTTTGCTCGAGTCTGCAGCTAACGCACGCGCGGACCGCATTGACCTCGAAAACGCAAAACTCGCTACGCAAGGGTATGGTTTGCTAGGGGTCGGTTTGGCCGCCCCTGATTGTTTGCTCCCTCCCACTATCCACACTCCAAGAATGAGAGTCTCCCACTATGAATCCGAAGCCCGTGAAACGAGCGATGAGTGAAGGCGGCAGCCCCCAGAACAAATGAGCACCCAGCCGAACAAACCCACGAACCCCAGGCAGTACACATACTCCCCGAGAGAAGACCGCCACGACGACCACAACTGCGAAGTACACCTACTTCACGAAGAACCCCGCTCCAGCAGCACACCCACGAATGCCACTTCGAAATCGCCCCTCGGACACCTCACCGCCGCTTGTCCGTCTTCTTCTTCTTGCCCACCGCAGGCCCTTGGCCCACCGCCGGCTTGAAAGGGATTGAGGCGAACTCCTTGGCCTTGCCTGTGTAGCGCGGGACACACTGCGCCAGCAGTGAGTGGGGGACGAACGCGTCTGCCTCCTCCTGGATGGCCCGAATGTCGGGCGGGAGGGCGTCACCCAGATCCCCTGCGCCACGAAACCCATAAGGAAGATCCTCATCAGCAGGAAGAGCGGTAAGGAGTCCACCAGCACCATGAAGAGCACCTCCGTGAAGATCTGCAGGAGGCTCGCCATGAAGCCCTCCAGCCCCATGAACATCCCCCTCATGAGGATCTGCACGGCGATCGGCATACGACGGATCACCAGCTCCACAAGGACCACCAGGGTGATCGGCATCAGCAGGAAGATCTGCGGGAGGCCCTCCAGCACCATGGAGATCACCACAGTGAAGATGTGCAGGAAGCTCGCCAGGAAGCCCTCCAGCACCATGGAGATCACCATCGTGACGACCTGCAGGAAGATCATCAGGGGAATCACCAACACCACCACGACCAGCGGGAATATCGGCATTGGCAGGAAGATCAGCAGGAAGAACACCAGGACCATGAAGACCTCCATGAGGAGGATCAGCATGAAGCACGGCAGGAAGCCCGCCAGCTCCATGAAGCTCCACATCGCGAAGAACGGCAGGACACCCACCAGCACCCTGAGGATCACCATCGTGACACCCTGCAGGCAGAATATCGGGAATATCACCAGCACCACACATGCTATCAGGACGATCGGCATCGGCAAGGAGATCGACAGGATGACCACCAGCGTCATGGAGACCTCCATCAAGAAGACTGGCAGGAAGCCCGTGAAGATGTCCTTCGTGAGGATCTGCAGGGAGGCCGGCAGAAGGAAGACCACCAGCTCCCCAAGGACACTCAGGAAGATCGGCATGTGAACGCCCACCAGCTCCATGGAGAGCACTACTGAATGCACCTCCTCCTCCTCCGCCTCCTCCTCCTCCTCCTCCTCCTCCTCCTCCTCCTCCTCCTCCTCCTCCTCCTTCTCCTCTGAGGATGAGGAGGAGGAGGAGGAGAAGCAGGAGGAGGAAGACGAGGAGGATGAGGACGAAGAGGAGGAGGACGAAGAGGAGGATGAGGGCAAGGGGGGGAGGAGGAGGAGGAGAAGAAGGAAGAGGAGGAGGACGAGGACGAGGAGGAGAAGGCAGGAGGAGGAGAAGGAAGAGGAGGAGGACGAGAAGGAGGAGGAGGCCGAGGAGGATAAGGTCAGGGGGTGGGAGGAGGAAAAGTAGAAGAAGGGGGAAGGGGGAGGCAGGAGAAGGAGGAGGGGGCACGGGTCGAGACTCAGGATCTTCTCTCGCATAGCCAACTGCCGTTGCCCCTGGCGACGCCGCTGGGAGGGCGGGGGCGGGCCCCAGCTCCCAGCTGGCGGCCGCCTTCTCGGGCAGGCTCGCGTCCTCGAAGCAGGCCACGACTCTGGGCACCTCCGTCCCACCTCCTGGAGCCTTCTTCTTCCTCCTGGTGCCTCCTGTCTCCTCCTCCGCCTCCTCCTCCTCCTCCTCCTTCTCCTCCCTCTCCTCTTGCTGGTGCCTCCTGCCTCCGCCCGCCGCCCCACCTCCTGGTGCCTTCTGCCTCTTTCTCCTCCTCCTCCTCCTCCTCCTCCTCCTCCTCCTCCTCCTCCTCTTCCTCTTCCTCATCATCATCATCATCATCATCATCATCATCATCATCATCATCATCATCATCATCATCATCATCATCATCATCATCATCATCATCAGCATCATCAGCACCATCATCATCAGCATCATCAGCATCATCATCATCATCAGCATCATCATCACATCATCATCATCATCATCATCACCATCACCATGCTCATCCTCATCCTCATCCTCATCCTCATCATCAACATCAGCATCAGCATCAGCATCATCATCATCACCATCACATCACCATCCTCACATCATCAAGATCAGCATCATCATCATCATCATCATCATCATCATCATCATCAGCATCGTCATCATCATCATCAGCATCATCATCAGCAGCATCATCATCATCATCATCATCATCATCATCAGCATCAACATCAGCATCATCATGATCATCATTCGCAGCATCATCATCAGCATCATCAGCATCATCATCAGCAGCAGCATCAGTATCATCATCACCATCATCATCATCATCATCATCATCATCATGATCAGCGTCATCATCATCATCATCATCAGAATCAGCATCATCATCACGATAATCATCATCATCAGCAGCATCATCATCATTATCATCATCATCCTCATCTTCATCATCCTCAGCATCATGAGCATAAGCATCATCATAATCATCATCATCAGCAGCATCAGCATGGTCAGCATCAGAATCAGCATCATCAGCATCATCATCAGCATCATTATCAACATCATAATCATCATCATCATCATCATCATCATCAGCATCATCACCATCATCATAATCATCATAAGCAGCATCATCATAGTATTATTCTTCATCATCAGCAGCATCCTCACCCTCATCCTCATGCTCATCATCATCGGTATCAGTATCAGTATCAGTATCAGTATCACTATCAGTATCAGTATCAGCATCATCATCATCATCATCATCATCATCATCATCATCATAATCATCATGATCATCATCATCATCATCATCATCATCATCATCATCATCGTCATCATCATACACGCGCTGGCTGGGAACTGGCAAAAGCAGCTCGCAGCCCCTCCTCCCCGCTCAGGACAAGCACGGGAAAAACATGCCATTGCAAACTGTGCCGAAACATCGCTGGTACTGGGGTCCCCAACACGTCACACTCCCTCTCCCAGAGCCGCGGCATATCGTCACAAGCGAAGATATAAAAACAATCATGCTCTACTGAGTCCACGATGTGAACCGGACAACGATCTTGCTCACACCATGCGATACTTCAAACTGGGGAAACCAAGAGGTACCAATACAACTGCTCCCTGGACCTCTCCCTGGGTGCGGTCGGACCAGAATTTCGAAGCGAATCAAGCGGTGCCGACGAGGGCCTCCCAAGAGGCCCAACAGGGGAAAGCGAGGGAATTGAGCGGGATCGTTACGTAGCTGTTCCTCCCCTGAAGAACGGTCTCCGAGAAACGAGACGACGCACGAGCAGGAGACGCGGGAGACGCCGGGCAGGAGCCGCCGTTGACGCCAGGGGCGACCCCGGAGATCTGCAGCGTCGCTCAGACACGTCGTCTAGTGCGAAGAAGGCTCCCTATAGTGCGACCAACAGCTTGGAAAACAAGCTGGGCAAGGGCGACTAAACAACAATGCTTCCTCGTCTGAGTCGTTGGCTGCGGCCTGGCGGCCTTGACGGCGACGACGACGACGACGACGACGAACGGGGAACATGTTGTCATCGTGCACTTCTCAAAAGGGGCGCTGCGAGCCCCTCCCGGGCATTTCTTCATCGCTTGGTCGCATGACACCACCACCATGCCTGGCCAGCGCCGTCCTGGGTCTCGACCGACAGGAAGGGCGTGCACGTCATCCTGGGGCTCAGGATGGCCCCAGCCAGGCACAGCGGTGGTGTGCAGAAGCATCCTGCGGATCGGAAACATCGATCGCGAAATCAGCGCAGGGCAGTGAGAAGGGCATGCGGCCGTGGCACGGCCACAAAGATCGCGAAATAAGGAACGAAAGAGCGATCCTTGCCACGGCGAGCCTCGGCCGCGACCAGGTTCCCCGACCTAGATCTAAGAAACGGCCAGAAAATCCGAACCTCTCCTGAGCCCAAAGCGGCCCTTATTTCAGCGTCTTGACTGTAAGCATAAGCTGTCCGAGGTCCGCGCGCATCTGTTGGGTCGTCGCTGGACCCCCTCCCTGGCTCGGGGTCCAGCGCCGACCCGAGAGATCCGCGCGGACCTCCGAAAGCGCATGCAGCATGCAGCGGTCGTTTATCGCCGAGTGTGACGCGTGCGCAGAAGCGGCGCGAGGGGGATACGATTGGAATTCCGCGCGCTCAGGCCCGTCTCCACCTACCGCGCCTCTCCTCCTTCACGGCCGACCACTCCTGGCAACGACGTCTGCGCAACCCTGAAGGATTCAACGCCAGCACGAGCATCGACATCGCAAAAGGGCCAGGAGTCACACGGCATGACGAACCCAAGAAGGTCCATGCAGAAGACGCTGGCCACGAACTGAGACTTGACAGCGGGGATGGCAACGAACGAGCCACGTCGTGACACCACAAACGAGGACGCGAACACTGTTGGCGCCACCGGGGCGATCATCAACACACCGAACTGGCCACGTCTAACATAACAGCACATGCATTGAAACATAAAAACGCCTTAAACAGAAACGTTTGGCCCTCCGTGCGGATTTCTTGGATCTGCGCTGGACCCCCCTCCCTGGCGCGCGGAGCGCGCCAGGGGCGGCATCGGAGGCGCCGCCAGAGGGATCAGCGCAGATCCAAGAAACGAGCGCGGAGCGCCAAAAGTTTGTGTATGGCGTTTTGTTCGACGGCAGAGCCACGCAAAAACATGTCGCACCCAACCGGCCGAGCAAGGGCGCCGCCTGGTGAGCCCTGCAGCACTCGGCAGCCTCGCCCGCCAGGAGACTCTCAGCCTTGGACGGCCTCCCGGGCTTCCCACATTCTTGCCAGGGCACACTGCGGAGGAGCAGGGTGGAGGAGAGAATTGTGCAGAACCCAGCGATATGCAACAAGGGGAGCGCGATGAAATAGGAGCGCGACGAAAAGGGAGTCCCACGTTTCGTTCCTTGCGGCATCCCCAAAGATCGGGCGCTACGAAAAATAGACAGTGTCAAAAATCACTCCCCCGAAGTTCTCAAGCTGGATGGGTCCGTCCTGTTCCTAACTGTTCCTGGCTGTTTCTACAACGATGAGCGTGCAGATGTGAGTTTGTCCGACGTAGCTCCACCGTCTCGAGTGAAGTTCGAGTTGCGATCTCCTGACGCTCCCCACGGCTGCTCTCACAGTGCACACCCAGAGCCCCGCTCTCGTGAAACACCCCAGCCCCCCCCCCCCCCCAAAAAAAAAGGATGGCGGTTTCTGGCCCTCCGTCCGCCCCCTCAAACCGCTGCCAGCCTCTCAAACCCCAGTGCCCGCGCCCTAATTCAGCCCCGCAACTGCGGCGCCGCCGCAACTGCGGCCAGTTCGGATTCGAGTTCAGTGCAGGAGAGACGGGACGACGAGTTCGAGGTAGTCCAGGGCCGCCTGCTTCCTTTGCTCGGCCGTGATACTGACCCAGTCGTAGTCGTACTCCTTGGCATCCCTCGCTGCCTCCCACTTCTTTTTTGCCCGCCTCTTCACCTCCAGTTCGGTCGTGTTGCCGCGCTTGGCGCACTCGCGCGTGATGGCTGGCGGCCACCCAAACGCCTTTGAAGTTCCACGCGACGGTGTGACCAGCCCCGCTGCCCTGCGACACGGTGGACCCGTTGCTCCCCCCCCTCCTCTCCTGCGGGGCTGACGTTCCCACCACCCTTTCCTGGTCCACGACTGCGGTTTCGTCCTTATCGCCGTCCGTGATTTCGGGCACTCCACCGAAGCTCACCTCGTCCATGATCGTCGTGATCAACCACTCACGGTCTTTAGCGTAGACCCACAGCGTCCGCCGCTTGAAGCTGGCCGCCCGCACGTTGCGAACGTCCTTGTCGTCTGGAAGCTTCAAGTGGCTCCTGGCGGGCATCTGCGCGCAGTGCACAGCGGCCGCGCGTCCGTCCACAGCCTCGCCGCTTGCCGGGCCAGTCTTCGAGGCCAGGTTGGAGCCACACTCTCCCGTCCTCTGCTTCTTGGCGGACGTCGGAGTCGTGGCCTGCCTCTTCGTGGCGCCCGAAGCACTGACCAAGGCCTGCGATCCCATGTCCAGCGAATCCAACGGCTGAGCCGTCGTTTCGGCTGATAACCAGCTTTTTTGCCTGGATATGGACTATCACTGCAGTATGTTCCGATGTAGTCTCGGTTACCCCTGAAGGTAACTCCCGTGAGACAAACTCAGGGGGGTTCCGCCGAAGCCATGGCAAAGAAGGGGGATCTGTGTGATAGGGAGGAGGCCGGCCGGGGAACGACCCCACGCGCGCGCGCAAGCCAGCTCGCTCCTTTTTTCCTATACCTCTCGAATCTGAGTGGCTGCAGGCAGGCAAGAAGTACAACAGCAATGATGGCAAGGGTAACAGGATGGTGGTGCGAAGAGGAGCGTATTAACCAAGAGGGATGAGGGGGGAGAAGGTAGGAGCGAGGAGGAGAAGGAGGAAAAAGGAGGAGGAGGAGGAGGATAAGGAGGAAGAGGACGAGGAGGAGGAAGAGGAGGGGGGAAGAGAAGGGGGAGGAGGAGGAATGGCGGCGAACCCACGCGGGAATGTAGATGGGGCGGACGTTGTCAGAAGGTTCGGCAGGCCTCCAACCTCTTGGGGTACTGACTGAGCCTCCGCCGACAACACAAAGGCGGCTGCCCAGAAGGCGCGAGGGCTTTTGCGAAGCCTAGCCGCCTTCTGAGCAGGCCTACCCCCTGTCACGTCCACGTTTCGGCGCTACGTCGGAGAAGAGGAACGGTGCGAAGTCAACCCCGACGCGCCCTGCGCAAAGCCAGCCCGCCCCAACCTGCGTGGGCGCGGGATCGAAGACAACCGCGTTGACTCAGTGGATGTCCTTGGGCGTGCGAAGGCAATCGGCGTTGCATGAAAGTTGGGCGGTCCTCGTCCTAGTTCCCCTCCCTGACATCATCCCCCCTATCCGCCGACCCCTTGCGGGTCCAACGGCGCGTGACAAATTCTTCCCTCCCTCATACCCTCCCTCATACCCCCCCCCCACCAAAGTGACCCCAAACCCGAAATTCTACCCCCCGAGAATAAGACCGACCCCAACCACTTCGGACCGTTCAGGAACCACTTCGGACTGATCACGACAACCGGAACCGGACTGATCGCGACGTGTAGGTAATCCTTCAAAACGAACGTCGGATCACAACCAGGAAACCGTGCTTCAGCTTCCCAAGGCTTGAAAGATACTTAAAAAAGATGCTCACGGGTTCCTAAAGGACTCCCGAAGGATTCCTGAAGGAACACCGAAGCATTATTGAATGATTCCTCGAAGATTCTAGCGGATTCTCTGCCCCGGTTGGCGCGAGAACTATACGCCCGCTGGCGGCATACGCAAGGCGCTGCGCAGGGCGAAGACCCGCTGCAAACAGGCAAGTCCGCTGGCAGGCGTTCCTTCCCCATCCACTCTTTCCCCTACAGCGAAAATGGTAGTACGAGTAGTCATGGAAAAAGCACGAATCTGATTACGAAAAGATGTTATGCCCGTAGAAGTAGTAGTAGTAGTAGCAGTAGTAGTAGTAGTAGTAGCAGTAATAGTAGTAGTAGTAGTAGTAGTAGTAGTAGTAGTAGTAGTAGTAGTAGTTGTTGTAGTAGTAGTAGTAGTAGTAGTAGTAGTATGAATAATAGTAGTAGTAGTAGTAGTAGTGGTGGTAGTAGTAGTAGTATAGTAGTAGTAGTAGTAGTAGTAGTAGTAGTAGTAGTAGTAGTAGTAGTAAGGGTAGTAGTAGTAGTAGTAGTCGTAGTCGTAGTCGTAGTCGTAGTAGTAGAGTAGTAGTAGTAGTAGTAGTAGTCGTAGTAGTAGTCGTAGTAGTAGTAGTAGTAGTAGTAGTAGTAGTAATAGTAGTAGTAGTAGTAATAGTAGTGGTAGTAATAGTAGTAGTAATGGTGAAAGTAGTAATGATGGTCGTAATAAAAGTATCAGTAGTAGTAGTCGTAGAAGTAGTAGTAGTAGTAGTAGTGACAGCAGCAGTAACAGTAAGAGTAGCAGTACGAGTAGTAGTAGCAGTAGTCGCAGAAGTCACAGACGTAGTAGTACTAATAGGAGTCGTCGTATCAGTAGTAGTAGTAGTAGTAGTGATAGTAGTAGTAGTAGTAGTAGTAGTAGTAGTAGTAGTAGTAGTAGCAGTAGTAGTAGTAGTAGTGGCAGTGGTAGTGGTAGTGGTAGTGGTAGTGGTAGTGCATGCGTGGTGCTGGTAATAGTAGTACCAGTAGCAGTAGTAGTAGTAGTGGCAGCGGGACTGGCAGTAGTAGTAGTAGTAGTAGTAGTAGTAGTAAAACTATCCCAGGGCGACCCTACCTAGGAGTTGGAACCCCTAGGAAAGCAGCACTAGTAGTAACAGTAACGCTAAGCAAAAGCTAAGCTAAAGCTAAGCTAAAGCTAAGCCACAGCTAAGCTAAAGCTAAGCTAAAGCTAAGCTAAAGCTAAGCTAAAGCTAAACTAAAGTTAAGCTGAAGCTAAGCTAAAGCTAAGCTAAAGCTGAGCTTAAGCTGAGCTAAAGCTAAGCTGAAGCTAAGCTAAAGCTGAGCTAAAGCTGAGCTAAAGCTGAGCTAAAGCTAAGATAAAGCTAAGCTACAGCTAAGCTAAAGCTAAGGTAAAGCTAAGCTAAAGCTAAGCTAAAGCTAAATTGAAGCTAAGCTACAGCTAAGCTAAAGCTAAGCTAAAGCTAAGCTAAAGCTAAGCTAAACGCTAAGCGAAAAGCTAAGCGAAACGCTAAGCTAAAGCTAAGCTACAGCTAAGCTAAAGCTAAGCTAAAGCTAAGCTAAAGCTAAAGCTAAAGCTCCCAGGGGACTGGGGGGAACCGCTCCCAGGGGACTGGGGGAACCGCCCGGGGCGTGTTGCACTGCCCCGCCCCTTTAAGCTAAGAGAGTAAGAACCCTTCTAGGCAGAGCCTAGGTAGGGAATTAGCCCTACAGCTACATTAGTAATTGTAGCTGTAGTAGCCGTAGTAGTCGTAGCAACAGTACTATAGCAGTAGTAGGTGTAGTAGTAGTAGTAGTAGTAGTAGCAGTAGCAGTAGCAGTAGCAGCAGTAGTAGTTGCATGCTACGCATAGTAGCACTAGAAGAAGAACTAGTCCCAAATGTAGTTGTAGTAGTAGTAATACTAACAGTAGTAGTTCCCCTCTTCCCTCCCTCCCGGGCACGCCGCTAAGACTAGTAGCAGTAGTAGTAGTAGTCGTCGTATTGGAAGTAGAAGTAGTAAAAATAGTGGTAGTAGTGGAAGTCTAGTCCTGGTTGTCGTAATAATAAGAGCAGTGGTAGTAGGAGTAGTAGTCGTAGTAATACAAGCGGTAATAATATAAGAACAGCCGTAGTAATAGTAATACGAATACTAGTAGTAGTAATAGTAATACGAGTAGCATTAGCAAGCGTAATAGTATTGGTACTAGTAATCGCAATAGTAGCAGTAGTAAACGGAATAGCGGCAAAGTAGTAGTATTAATAATAGTAGTAGTAGTAATAATAGTAGTAGTAGCAGTCGCAGTAGTAGTAGTAATAGTAGTAGTAGTGGTAGTGGAAGTGGTAGTGGTAGCCGTAGTAGTAGGAGTAGTAGTAGTAGTAGTAATAGTAGTAGTAGTAGTACTAGTACTAGTAGTAGTAGTAGTAGTAATAATAATAGTAGTATAGGTAAAGAAGTAGTAATAGTAGCCGGAGTCGCCGCAATAATAGTAGTAGGAGTCGTGGTAGCAGCAGTAGTAGTAGTAATAATAGTAGTAGTAGCGATAGCAGAAGTAGCCGTAGTAGTAGTGCTTGTAGTAGTAGGGGTAACCGTAGTAAGATCACGCGTAGTAAGAATAGCAGTGGTAGTAGTAGTAGGTAGTAGGTGGTAGTAGGTGGTAGTAGGTGGTAGTAGTAGTGTTAGTAGTAGTAGCAGCAGTCGTAGTAGTAGTAGTAGTAGTAGTAGTAGTAGTAGTAGTTGTAGTAGTAGTAGTAGTAGTAGTAGTAGTAGTAGTAGTAATAGTAGCAGTTGCAGTCGCAGTCGCAGTCGTAGTAGCAGTAGTAGGAGTAGAAGAAGTAGTAGTAGTAGTAGTAGTCGTAGTAGTAGTAATAGTAGTAGTAGGAGTTGATCCCCTCGTCCTTCCCCCCTGGGCAAGCCGCTGAGTGGAGGCTGGGTTCAGCCAGGTGGGCAAGAGGGTACTTCTCACGACGCACCTGCTCACACACGACTTTCAATATTCAGGCGTATATGGCCCCCCTTGGCCCTTCCCAGGGGTCCAATATCTGTGCACGGTGCTCCTTGCCGCATATGTGCATACATACGTACATGCAAACAGTGTGAGCGTGCCTTGAACAACTGTTGACTCCAAGCGCGAGCTACGCGCGCGCTCAGGCTCTAGCACGGACGAATGCAATGTTACAACACACTGTGTGCATGGATCGAATGCCGCAGCAAACATGCGGCTGGAAGATATCGGCACAATTGTAGGCACAAAGGTGACGGAGCTCGGGCCCATGTTCTCACAATGGGGGCGAAGCAGAAGCGAGGACAAGTGGCAGGGAGAAAAGGATGGAGTGATTAAAGATGAGCGCTACGAAGACGTTGGACATTCCACTGGAGACCATCATACTGCTGTCGCGAACTCGAGCAATTCCAACCATTCTCGGGCCCCCCACTCGCTTCCCCTCCTCTTCCTCCACCACCACCTGAACCACATCCTCCTCCTCATCTTCCTCTCCCCCCCCTCCCATGGCGGGGCTCTCATGCGGTCATCTCGGGGCTGACACGGGACTCTGTGGGCCCGTACTGGAGTTATCATATGACCACCTTATGTTTTGAGGGCCGCACAATGCATCGGCACGATCAGCCCCATGTTGGCAACGTGCGTCGGCACGATGCGCGATGAGGATGCAAGGGCCTTGGAGGCTCATTTCGAAGCTTTTCGAGCGGGGCACGGCAAGCGAAACCGGCGAAGGATGGACCGAGGAGGCAAGAATGCAAGGGTACCCTTTGAAAAGTTGCCCATCCTTGCTATCATGGTTGACTGTACTGCTTCCGGGCCGTACCCCAACCACCTGTTCCCCTGTACTGTTCACGGAGCGTGCGTCGCAAGCAACTGACAAACCAGAATTACTGCTTCCGAAGCGCACCCCTGTCCCCGCAAGCAGAGGATGCCCCAGAACGATCAGCCACATGCCGACAACGTGCAGGGATCTTTGCTGGCAACATGCTCCGGCGCAGCCAGCCACCTGAGACGACGTCGCGCTTGTCGCGAAAAGCCTTCTCGAGAACAGTGACCCCATGATATCGCCGTGTGAATAGGCAGTGTGTCTGGACAGGCTGCACAGAGCCTGTCTGAATCAAACCAGAACGCTCTATAAGGCTGACTGGTGAGCCTTCTTGCCTAGATGAAGCATAATGTCCAGGAGGGAGCGAGGAGCTGGCGTGGGAAAGGACGAGGGGAACATGAAAGACGAAGCAACTAAGCGGCCCAGTAATCAATTACGCTGACCGCAGAGCGAAGACGCCGCCTGGAGCTTGCCCAATACATGAGGCGTGCGTCGCAAGCAACTGACAAACCAGAATTACTGCTTCCGAGTCGCACTCCAGCCACCGCAGGAAGAGGATGCCTCTTCTTCGCGGCACGACACCCCAGCACGATCAGCCACATGCTTGAAAGGCGCTGCGAAGCTCCCCCTGACCTCTCGCCGCGCCGACGCAGCAGAGAAGGAGCCATTTGCTCTGTGGGAGGCCAACGCAGGGAAAACTTGCCCCAATCGCCCACGATGCCGAGGTCTTGCCTTGCCTCGGCCACGCGACCGACGCAGACAAAGAGAACAGACAAAAACAAAGGCCCCCGTACTGGCGAGCCTGTGCTGCATTAATACCTCCCCCACGCCTCCGCTGGCCGGCGGGCCCCGCGCGGGCCCTCGGAGGTGACTCGCCGCCGGCCGCGTGCGCACCGCTGGCGATCACCGCGGGGGCGCCCTGCGCTGGGCGCGCTTGCAAAAGAAGGCCCCCCGCCCCCCCCCCCCCCCCCCCGGGAGCAGCAGGAGCAGGGTCGCGAGAGCTCCACCACCACGCGTGCGGGCGCTGGGCGACCCTGGATTCTGTGGGGCCGTCCTGGGGCGCCCCGTCGGGTCCCTCCAACGAGGGAGAGCCCCCCACCAGCCCTGGGCGCCTCACTCTCAGAGGGGCACGAGGGCCCTGCTCCCCTCACCCCTCTCCGTGTCGCCGTGGACGTCGACGTAGGCCGCGCTGCTCCCGCTGCCCTTGGCATCGCCGTCGGCCAGGCCGCCACGGAGGGGGGGCAGTGCCCCCTTCTGCCGCGCGTGCCGCACCAAGAGAGCCCAGAGGGACACGCCCGCCGCCACGGCAAGGGTGCCGACCACCATCCTCCTTGCCTCGATGCTCGCCTCGAGGTTCGCCTCGGGCTCCGCCTCCGTGGGCTCGGAGGCTGCCGCCAGCGCCAGGGCGGACACGTTGGGCTCCGGGGCCTCCTCCAGAAGGCGCCGATCTGGCTCGCAGATTCTCCACCCGCGCATCGTCACGGTGGAATCGGAGGACCACAGAATGCTGGACGACGGAGTGAACCCGTGAGGACGACGGCGCCTGCCACTGAACTTCCGACCGTTGACCAAAAGGTAGTCGAAGTACGATTCTGTGTCGAAATCCGCCACCGTGCCCCTTGGCACGCTGAGGCGTGGTAGGATGCCAAGTGCTGGGTCGGGCATGTCCTCCTGCAGGCGGATGATGGACGGAAACAATGGCCACAAAAGCAAGCGGAAAATCGTCCCCATACCTATGTTTCAGACTCTTTCATGTTCTTGAGGATTCCCCCTGTAGAGGGGCATGGCCGACTTACGCCAAGTGCTGTCTGGTGGAGCTCCTGTGCTCTTCCAGCGGGCCCCCCGTCCCCCTCCCAGCAGCAGAACGGCTGCGTGCACCGCCCCGTCCGTCCCGAGGCTGCCCTGGCGTTCTGGCGCCTCCCTGGCGCCACCCGGGGCTCTCCAGCGCGTCCACGCACGACCGAGGAAGGCCACCGAGGCCGCCAAGATGGCCCCAAGATGCCGCCACGACGGCCCGAGATGGCCACAAGGCGTCCCCAGCTAGCCACAACAGGCCCCGAAGACGGCACAAGCTGGTTTCAAGAAGACCCGTGGGAGGCCAAGGTTTTGTAATATGCTGAGGTTTTGTAATATGCTTCGCGTGATCGCTGGTTCGGGCTTCCGTCACCACATGGTGCGGCCTCCTGTGCGCTCCTCGAACAATCGCCGCCCAGAGTGCTGGACTGGTGCGGCGGGGGCACTTGCCGCAGGCAGCTGGATACTCCACGACGATTGGAGCTGCGTTCGCCGCGTTGATCTCAATCGTGCACTGCTGGCTGTTGCTGTAGTACTGCGGATAGTTCGGGCTCTGCACACATGCGCCGTCTTGCACGCACGGGCCGGAGATGGCAGCCCACATGCTGCCGGAACCGGGCGTCGGTGCAGCGGTCGGCGAAGGAGTCGGCGCAAGAGTCGGCGCAGCTGTCGGGGCAACCGTTGGTGCAGCGGTCGGTGACGGCGTTGGTGCTGTTGTCGGCGGGGGTGCAGGTGTTGACACTGGCATGCAGAATTTCCACCCGCTCCTCGTAACGCTAAAGTCGGACGACCACATAATACTGGATGAAGGGGTGAACCCAGACGGACCCGAAGTTCCAGTATATACTTTCCATCCGTCGATCATGATGTAATCGAAGTACGATTCTACATTGAAGCCCTCTACGACGATCGGTCCTGCGTTCGACGCGTCGATCGTAATCGTGCACATCTGGTTGTTGCCATACGGCTGCGGATAGTTCGCGCTCTGTACACATGCGCCGTCTAGCGTGCACGCACCGGAGATGGCCGACCACATGTGCGCAGAGCCGGGCGTCGGCGCAGCGGTCGGCGCAGGAGTCGGCGCAGGAGACGGCGAAGCTGTCGGTGTTGCTGTTGGGGATGCGGTCGGTGCTGATGTCGGTGCGGCTGTCGGTGGTGCTGCTGTTGGAGAAGCGGTCGGTGATGCTGTCGGTGCGGCTGTCGGTGCACCTGTCGGGGAAGCGGTCGGTGCAAGAGTCGGTGCTGCAGTCGGCCTGGCAGTTGGAGAAACGGTCGGCGCAGGCGTTGGTGCTGCGGTCGGAGGGGGTGCAGGTGTTGATGCCGGCATGCAAATTCTCCATCCACTCCTTGTTACGGAAAAGTCAGACGACCACAGCACAGTCTCCGCTGGGGTGACCCCAGAGGGACCTGAGGTTCCAGTATACCTGTCCCCTCCGTCGACAATGAGGTAGTCGAAATACGACTCAACGTCAAAACTCTCGACGACGATCGGTGCTGCGTTCGACGCGTCGATCGTAATCGTGCACATCTGGTTGTTACCATACGGCTGCGGATAATTCTCGCTCTGCACACACGCGCCGTCCAGCGTGCACTGGCCGACGACGTCCGCCCACATGTGGTCAGGAGAAGGCGTTGGAGGAGGTGCTGGAGTTGACGGAGTCGGGGCCTCAGTCGCCCCCATCAACTCGTCGATCCAATCACGCACGTAACTGACCCGAGACCATATTCCGGGGTACCGCTCATCTGCGCACCCGTAGCCCCACGACGTGGCTCCGTGCAAGACGTAGGAAGCGCTTCCAGAAGCACAGACGAGAGGTCCACCACTGTCCCCCTGGCAGGCGTCGGTAACGTCCCCGGCGCTGTTGACGCCCTGGGCGCACAACATGTCATCGGTGATCTGCGATTGGCCGTAGGCCGCGCTGCAGTCTGAGTTGCTGATAATGCTCACCTGCGCCTCCTGCATCAAGTCAGGGGATGCCCCACCAGAGGAAAGGGTCCCCCACCCAGTGATGAAGCACTCTTCACCGTCCGCGACCGCCTCACTTGGCAAGCATGCTACCCCAATACATTCGTTCAAGGACGCCTCACCGACCAACTCTACGAGGGCAAAGTCGAATCGCATCGTCGAACTGTCATACTCTGGATGGGAGAACACTTGCTTCACCTGCAGTACCTCCTGACTCGAATCTGTTGAAAGTCTGTGGTAGCTGCCCGCTACGATTGAGAAGCTATAGCTACCCACACAGTGAGCAGCTGTCAGGACCCAGTTGGGAGCGATCAGTGCTCCTCCACAGAAGTGCCCCCAAGAGGCCACCAGAGAAACCTGCCACTTCCACTCGCATGGCGTGGTGGCTTGCCCTCCCACAATGCGCTGGCCGCGCTGCGTCTCCCAGGGAGTGTTGTCCAGACCCTTTTCGCCGCACAGCGGCGCTGGCGACGGTGGCGGCGTGGTCGGCGCCCCCGTTGGTGCTGCAGTCGGCACAGCCGTCGGTGCTGCTGTCGGCGCAACTGTCGGCACTGCTGTTGGGGAAGCGGTCGGCCTTTCCGTTGGCGTCGCAGTCGGCACGGCTGTCGGTGCTGCTGTTGGGGAAGCGGTCGGCGCTGCCGCTGGTGCTTCAGTCGGCGCGGCTGTCGGTGCCGCTGTTGGGGAAGCCGGCACAGCTGTCGGCGCCTCGGTCGGTGCTGCTGTTGGAACAGCGGTCGGTGCTGATGTCGGCGCAGCTGTCGGTACCGTTGTGGGGGAAGAAGTCGGCGCCTCCGTCGGTGCTGCAGTCGGCGCAACTGTCGGTGCTGCTGTTGGGGAAGCGGTCGGTGATGCAGTCGGCGCAGCCGTCGGTGCTGATGTAGGGGATGCGGTCGGCGCTTTCGTTGGTGCCGTAGTCGGCGCAGCTGTCGGTACTGCGGTCGGGAGGGCAGTCGGCGCTACTGTCGGTGCTGCTGTTGGGGATGCGGTCGGCGCATCCGTTGGTGCCGAAGTCGGCGCAGCTGTCGGTGCTGCTGTTGGGAGAGCAGTCGGCGCTGCTGTAGGCGCAACCGTAGGTGCGGGCGATGGCGTCGGGGGTACCGTCAAGTCCCCCATCAACCCAGTCATCCAATCCCTTGCATAAGTGACCCGACTCCAGACTCCAGGGAAATTTTGAATGCCACACGATACAGGTCCCCACGACACGACGCCGTGAAGAAAGTAGGTGCCGCCTGAAGCGCAGACAATCGGCCCTCCGCTGTCCCCCTGACAGATGTCTGTTACCAGACCACCGTTGGAGCCCTGCGCGCACAGCATGTCATCTGTGATCGTCATCCCTGACATGCCCCACTGAGCCTGGCAAGCTGCATTGGTCCAAGTGGTCACCCCACCCTCCTGCAACAAGTCAGGGACGCTCCCTCCGTTGACCTTCCCCCACCCGGTGGTGAAGCACTCTTCACCTGCACCGATGTCCTCCGCTGGCAGGCACGCGAGGCCGATACAGTCGTTCAACGGAGCCGCACTGGCCAACTCCAAGAGGACATAGTCGTAGCCCTGATCCCAGTTGACATAGTTCGGATGAATGTGCACTTGCTGCACCTCCAGTCGCACGCCTACCGTGTCCGACTGGGACTGGCTGTGAAGGCCCGCCACGACCCAGAACGAGGAGCGAGGGAAGCAGTGGGCGGCCGTCAGGACCCAGTTCGGGGCGATGAGCGTTCCTCCGCAGAAGTGCCCTCCCGAAGTCTGGAGGGAGACCTGCCACGGCCACTCGCAGCGCGTGGCTGCCTGCCCCCCGAAGATGCGCTGGCCGCCAGCTGTCCATGGAGTGTTGTCGGCACCCTTTGCGCCGCAAGTCGATGCCGCGCCGATCTGCACCAATGCCGTGCACACCAGTGCCGCGGAAACGGAAACAACTCTCATGGTGCCTGCAGGTGTACACGTTCGAGGGTATCGGTGCAAACGTTCCGAAAACCTCGTCGGAGCAAGCGCGCCGAATCTATAACATGAGGCTTGGGCCAGAATGGATGCGGAGAAGCTGCGTGTGGCCATCTTGGACCCTCTGAGGCTGTCGTAAGGCCGTCTCGGGTCAGGCTGGAGTCGTCCAGAGCCCTCTCAGGGCCCTGTTGGGCCGTCATGGATTTCCTCGGACGCTCTCTGAGGCCCGGGGAGCCCTCCTGAGGCACCCCTGGGTTGCCGGCCTCGGCCTCTCTTGGGTTGCTTGTGTGTCCTTGTTGAGCTCATCCGAAGCCCTCAACACACAAACACACACAAACACACACACACACACACACACACACACACACACACACGCACACGCGCACGCACGCACGCACGCACGCACGCACGCGCGCGCACGCACGGCCTCTGGAAGCCATCTTGGGCCCTGGTGGGGCCGCTTTGACACCTTTCTTGTGGCATTACGGCCCGCCTTGGGGCCACATGAGGACAGGAGGGCTGCCGTGGGGCCCAGTGGCACATCTCAAGCTCATCCAGAAGGCCTTTTCGGCCATCGAGGCACCCTGTTGGGACATCAGGATGGGAGGCTGTCTGGGGCCCCCCCTGCGGGAGCTCTGTGGCTCCTCCAAAGCCCTCTCGGGACAACAACAGCAACAGCATCAACAATGACAACAGCACCAACGACAACAACAACAACAACAACAACAACAACAACAACAACAACAACAACAACAACAACAACAACCACGATAAAGACCAATGACAACAACAACACCAACAGCAACAATAACAACAACCTGAATAAGGACACTGGCCATAACAGTAATACCACCACCACCAACAACAACCACATCCAAAAAAAACAGCAACAGCAACAGCAACAACAAAAGCCACAACAACAACACCAACAGCAACAATAACACCACCACCAACAAAAACCACAACAACATCAACAACAGCGACAACGACAACGACAGCAACAACAACGACGACGACAATGACAACAACAACCACAACAACCACAACGACGACGACAATGACAACAACAACCACAACCACACACACACACGCACGCACGCACGCACGCACGCGCGCGCGCACGCACGCACGCGCGCGCGCGCACACACACGCACACACACACACACACACACACACACACACACACACACGCACACACACACACACACGCTTGCACACACACACACACACACACACACACACGCACACATACAGACATACACACATACACACTGAAGTGAGGCCTCTGGAAACCATCTTGGGCCCTGGTGGGGCCTTTTGACACCTTTTTGTGGCATTACGGCCCGCCTTGGGGCCACATGAGGACATGAGGGCTACCGTGGGGCCCAGTGGCCCATCTCAAGCTCATCCGGAAGGCCTCTTCGGCCATCGAGGCACCCTGTTGGGACATCAGGATCGGAGGCTGTCTGGGGGCCCTCCTGCGGGAGCTCTTTGGCTCCTCCAAAGCCCTCTCGGGACAACAACAGCAACAACACCAACAATGACAACAACAACAAAAACAAATACGACAATGACTAATGACAACAACAACAGCAGCAATAACAACAACAATGATAAGGGCACTGACAATAACAACAATACTACCACCACCACAAACATCAACAACAACAACAAACACAACCAAAACAACACCAACACCAGCAACAACACCACCACCACCACCAACAACACCAACACCAACACCAACAACAACAACATTAACACCACCACCAACAAAAACCGCAACAATCTCAACAACAGCGACAACGACAACGACAACACCAACAACGACGACGAGACTGACAACAACAATCACAACAACAACCACAACCATACTGACAGTGGCAAGGACAACAACGACCACAACACCACCAACAACAACAACCTCGACAGCAACACCAGCGGCAGCACGATCAAACGAACGGCAACGACATCGACATCGACAACGACAATGACAACCACAACAACAACAACAACAACAACAACAACAACAACGACAACAACGGCAACACTCAGTTTGAGACTGCTCGTTCTTACCTGCTCGCGTGCCATTCCAGCTGTAGATCCCAAACCCTCGGTGCCCGCCCTCTTCGTTTTCGATCGTACCCCCCCTCGGGATTAACAGGGGGAGGGCTAGGAGCAAAAACACGTGGCAGAACCAGATGGGCCCATCGGGTGGGTAGAGCCTAACGGGCGGGTTGGGAAGGCGGGCCCAAGCGGCCAGGTCGAGCAGGCGGGTTGCTGAAGAGTGAATATTGCCTGAATCGCGAGGCGAGCGCGAGCGAGAGCGCGATTCCGATGTAAATCGTGAGAAAGGCCAGAGCGAGAGAGCGTGAGTCCGAGTGTCGAGGGCGCGGCGCCTGAATGAACTGCGAGGACGTCCCACGCGAGAGCGCGATGCCTGCAGAACTCGTGCGGGCATCCCGCGCGAGACCGCGATTGTGGAATACGGAAGCATCAGTCGGGAGCCGCTGCTGTTGGAACTCGGCGTTCAGGCGCCCAGACTGGTGACACCCTCGTCTTCCATTAGTGAAAAGCGGCGTGCGAGCCCCAG